TTTATTTATTTATTTATGCTGACTTATACGTTAAAAAGAAATAAAATGTGGAGAAATTATAGTCAGGTCCGATTGGTTTTAATGATGGATCCATAACAAAATATTCACAAATACTTTCAGAAAACTGACCTTACTGAGGCTCCTGGTGGGATTTAATGTAGAACAGCAGTAATGTTTATTAGTTCTGTTTTTAAGCTTCAGTGTAGTTCACTGTAAAGTCTCTGAGGTGGGCCAAACACTAAAGGTCAAACACTTCATTTTCCTCCCAAACCTAAAAGCTGAGCCAGCCGGTGTTATTGATGAGTTCCTGTTTTTGTTTTTGTTTTTTGTTTTCCACTCACCTGTGTTGTAGCTGGGTATATCTATCCCCATGGCCGGGCTCTTCCTCTTCCTCGGCCTGCCCTTCTGCGCCGTGCCGGTGCCGTTGAAGTAAGGCAGCGCGAGGCCGCCGCCCTTGGCCGCGAGCTCGGCGAAGTTGAGCTGCGGGTGGTAGTCCGGGCCCTGGACCAGCGTCTCGAAGTGCAGCCGGCAGTACACCAGGCTGTCCTTCATGCCGAAGTGGTCGCCCGTGGTCAGGGTCTTGTTGCAGGTGGTGCACGTGAAGCAGCTCAGGTGGTACACGGAGTCGCGCGCTCGCATCACCATCTCCGAGGCGGAAATCCCGAGGTGGCAGCGCGCGCACCTCTGCACGGAGAACCTTCTGGAGCAGACGCACTGTCAGTTTTTCCACACACACACACACACACACATACAAACACACACAAAATGTCCAGCATTCTCAGCAGCAACCATCGCCTGCATGAACGCGCTGCGTTCACGTGCAGACTCTGCTGGAATGAAGGCACGAGGCCTGGAGCTCTTTAATGCTTTCAGCTAACAACATCTGGACTGAACCTGAGCCTCTGTGGCTGCAGGAAAACAACTTTTACATTAAATTTAACTCAGCAAAATGCAGGAAGTGCAACGATTAAAGATTAGAATGCTTTATTCTTTAACTAAATGTTGTTTATTTATATGTAAAATTCTGACCTGAAACATTATATATATATATATATATATATATATATACTGCTAACTTTCCAGACATAGAAATAATTCAAAATAAAAAAATATAAGCTGAATTTGCAGAAAAGGTCTCCTACATAGTAAATTAGGAGCAACATTCCTGCTAAGTCAAAATCCAACATTTTTTCAAAAATCTGGGTCCAACTTTCTCCTAAAACACRTCCAGCTCCCTTCCTTCATAATGTTCATAAAACAAAAGAAAGGCCTGACAGCATTATGACCACACTTCTCTTCTGTTTACAAGACATTTAAATGTTTTTTCCTCACACAACAAGCAGGCCTGTAAAGCCAGCTGTTTTTCAACACTAATTATTGAGCAGAATTGTTCTTACCTGTAGTAATCCTCCTTGCAATAAATACTCCCATCCTTGGCAAAACACGTTAGCTCGGACTCCAGCGCCAGTTTACATTCACAGCATTTGAGGCACCGCAGGTGCCACTGTTTGTCCACGGCCAGCAGGTAGTATCTGTCCGAGATCTTCCCCCCACAGCCGGCACACAAGGCAGGCTTCTCCGGGCTCATGGAGGGCATGGTCTGGGATGGAGAGTGGGGGGGACAGAAAATAAGCTGAGGGCTGATTTATTTATTTTAAATTAAAACGATCTGAAGGTGAAATATTATATTTAAATATTTATAAAATACTCAGCTATGTGCTGGTAAATAC